AGTTGCCGCTTGGAAAATTGCACATTTGGGAAGTTGCCACTTGGGAAAATTCCCTTGGGAAGTCGCCGCTTGGGAAAATACTCTTGGGAAGTTGCCGCTTTGGAAAATACCCTAGGGAAGTCGCCGCTTTGGAAAATCCCCTTGGGAAGCCGCCGCTTGGGAAAATCCCCTTGGGAAGTCGCCGCTTTGGAAAATCCCCTTGGGAAGCCGCCGCTTGGGAAAATCCCCTTGGGAAGTCGCCGCTTTGGAAAATCCCCTTGGGAAGCCGCCGCTTGGGAAAATCCCCTTGGGAAGTCGCCGCTTTGGAAAATCCCCTTGGGAAGCCGCCGCTTGGGAAAATCCCCTTGGGAAGTCGCCGCTTTGGAAAATCCCCTTGGGAAGCCGCCGCTTGGGAAAATCCCCTTGGGAAGCCTCCGCTTGGGAAAATACCCTTGGGAAGTCGCCGCTTTGGAAAATACCCTTGGGAAGCCGCCGCTTGGGAAAATCCCCTTGGGAAGTCGCCGCTTGGGAAAATACTCTTGGGAAGTTGCCACTTAGGAAAATACCCTAGGGAAGCCGCCGCTTGGGAAAATCCCCTTGGGAAAATGTCTTCGGAAAACGCCTTCGGGAAAAGTACCTAACGTCGGTTTAAAGGGGTTGTTTGTGTAATTTCCAGTAATCCTCAATGAAAAAATGTCAATGCTCGATTCACAACGGTACCCTTAAAACTTTTCTCTAAGTCAATAATGTGGAAGATATTGTCGTTTTTCTATGTTTCAAAATGTTTAACTACAATAATCCCTATAGCTCTATCAATATGCGTGAGTCACTTTTATAGAGAACTCAAAATTTTAGATATTCAATTTTCAAAAGTATAAAAATTGATATCTTATTAATACTTGATCAAACAAAGCTTTAAAGGGTACCGTACCAAAATGGCCATCTTTATATGAAGGTTTACTTGAAATTATGCTTACAGTCCCTTTAACTGTTTTAATCCTTATTTTATTATTTGTACTGCAGTAAAGGACCTTTAACTACTATCATGCGATTTTGGGCTTTTTGTAATTATCTATTTGGGTTAGTTTTTCAAGCGAACCTTTTTATATTCTTGTTTAAAGTTTTCAACCAATCTTTTTTCTCTGCAATAGGAAGACGACTTTTTAGCAATACTTAAGTGTTTTTGATATTGTTACAAAGCAAATCGTTTAACTGGAGACTTATTAAGCCACTGGTTAAGTGAAAAAATTTCTGAACAGTGAGTTTACTCTGCACAATTGCTTTGTTCCAGTCTCATTATTTACAGTCCTAACTTGAGTCTAAAAGTCGTCTTTCTATTTCAGAGTTTTCTGAATATCTCTTTATGTTTGGTGCTTTTATGATTTGATTGTTTTTAAAATTTATAGCTGAAAATCAAAATTTACATAATCTCTTTTTTCCCACTTTTTATTTTCCAAGTTTAGTTTTCTTGACAAGTTTTTGTTTGCGAAAAACTGATTTCTCCTTGTTTGAATATTTTTTAAATAATAATGGGTTAATATTGATAATTTATTGTTTTAAATATTTAAATATTATATATCAGTGAGTTTGTGCATCAAATTGTCTAATATCCTAATCATATATAATATACAGGGTTACCCACAAAGGATGAGACTTCAGAGACGATTGTACAGAATTCTGTTTCCTTATATTCATGAATGTAAACTTGATTTTTTCTTTATCAAATTTTTCAAATTAAATGACTGTATTCAAAGCAAAAGACTCAATGTAAACTTTATATCATCATGTTTACGCAGTTTCAGGTCGTCTTTACAGTCTCATCCTTTGTGGGTAACTATATACCTAATGGAGTAGACTTAGACTATTTTATTTATCATTTATCATAATTCATAAGTTCGTAAAATATCGAAGGTCTACGACATCGGGATGCTAAGATATATGGATAAGAAAATCAGAGTTTGTGGCAAAAACTTAACTTAATTTATAATTGGCAATTACTGTAAATTTGTTGTACAATTTACCAATAGTAATAGGTAACCATATTTATAATTTAATGTTTAAATACTTATATATAAAGTGCCACAAACTCAACTTTTCCAATCCTTATATCTATGAGACCTGATTGAGTCAATCTTTGATATTTCAAATTTTGGCTAAATTTGATCGAACAGATTTTATAAGTTTAAAACATGAAAGGTCTACGACATCGGGTTGCAAACATATAGGGATAAGAAAATCAGAGTTTGTGGCAAAAACTCAATTAGAATTGACAATTGTTTCTTTTCTTTTTAAAAATTAGCCGAATATGATAGATGATGCACAAACAAAAAGAAGAAAATGGAAATTTAGAAAAATAGAAATGTCAAAATTTCTAATTTATAGAATTTTGTTAAAATTAAAATTTAAAAAAACAAAAAAATAAACTGTTAATCTGTTGTAAAATGTTTACCAATAATAATAGGTAACCACTCCTTGTACACAATATGTTGATACTCAGCCACAGTTATTCTTCGTGCTTCTTGATATATCTAATAATTATAATAATAATATTGTCCAGTTCCTTTCTAATAGAGTCTAACTGTGCTGGAGTAAAGGCAGTTCTCTTATCAAGACCAAGATCGTAGAAGAATCTAGAAATCAATGTATCAATCAATCAATCAATCAATATATAATTATCAATTAATTCATATATCATCTACAAGCTGAAGTGCCCGGTGTGCCCTGTGAAATTTTGGAGGACAAAAAATCGATTTTTAAAAATAAAAAATTTAGATTTAAAAAAAGTACAAATACATTTTTTCTGCTGACTCAAACAGCTGGTGATAAAAAAAACGCTCTAAAAATTATACACTGTAAAAATGTCTCATTGGTATCAAATTAATTCTAAAGTTTTTCTCTACAATACTGCACTTTCAGCTTAACTACCATGTCTGCTGGTCTCTCCCTTTAGAACACTTCTGATTTGATTTGATGATTGAGCTCTTTGCTTGCAGGAGAGCAACTTTGACTTTGAATACTAATATAACCCGTGGCAACGCCGGGCACTCTCGAATTACTATAAATAATACAACAGTTATCAAAATTTGAATAATATTTACCTATCTCCTTTCTTCAATCTTGCAAACTGATCACCTTAATTATCATTAGTGGTTATAAAATTATTATTACTTTTATTATTATTATTCCAAAAAAAGGAAATTTTTGCAAAAAACAGATTTAAACTACTTCTGATTGGGTTACCTATTATACACTTGAAAACAGGTCCTGGAATAAGGTGGAATAAGGTGGAATAAGGTGGAATAAGGTGGAAATTAAAAACAATAAAAAATTGTATTTGCCAATTATCATTCCAAATCTGAACAGTACAGTGTCCGAATTTAATGAATTTAAGCCGCGTCTCAAATATCCCAAAACGGTTTCAAGTGACCGCCGGCTTATATCTTGAAAAATTAGATATAATTTGAAGTGGAACCAACCATATTTGAGCCGCGACTTAAATTTAAACCACGGCTCAAATTCTTTAAATTTGGCTTCAGATGTGCTTTTCTTCGAAGGTCAACTTTCTATATTATAATACAGTATGGCGTATACAGGAATTTAATTTGTGAAAACAAAACCTTTATATATAGTATTTACCCAGGGGCGTATACAGGAATTTAATTTGTGAAAACAAAACCATTAGTCCACTTTCCAAACTTTTGCTTTGTAAATATGTGTTTATAGCGGTTGATGAGTATTAATAAACAAAAAATAAAATAAAAGTATCTTACATATATTCATTGTTTACATTTTAAAAATAATTTGTGGTGGATTGTTAGCATTTTTTTACGATGAACTCACAACTTCAAGATTTTCATCTGGCATTGAAATAAATAAAATAAGGTTAAAAACTGACCTAAACTGACCTAAGCTGATCTGAACTGAGCTAAGCTGACCTAAACTGACCTAAACTGACCTAAACTTACCTAAACTGACCTAAACTGACCTAATAAACTGACCTAAACTGACCTAATAAACTGACCTAAACTGACCTAAACTGACCTAAACTGACCTAAACTGACCTAAACTGACCTAAACTGACCTAAACTGACCTAAACTGACCTAAACTGACCTAAACTGACCTAAACTGACCTAAACTGACCTAAACTGACCTAAACTGACCTAAACTGACCTAAACTGACCTAAACTGACCTAAACTGACCTAAACTGACCTAAACTGACCTAAACTGACCTAAACTGACCTAAACTGACCTAAACTGACCTAATAAACTGACCTAAACTGACCTAATACACTGACCTAATAAACTGACCTAAAATCTCCGGCAAAAAAACAGTCATTTTTCCGTCCACCGCACACATCACATCCCGTAACCTATTCATTAAACAGACAAAATAAAAATAAATAATCAAATTATTATTAAAATGGGTTTAATAATAATAATAAAGTATTCTTTTATTGCAAAATATTTACACTGAACGTAACATAGGGTTTTGGCCGACGGAAATACAGAGTAGAAAGGAATGATAATAAAAATGAAAATAAATATTTTTTAAAAATAATATATATATATATATGGATTAACGATGGATTTGCAACAATTATATTTAGAGCTTGACTTGAGTCTAAAGTATTTAAACTTTTGTGAGTAAAAAACCGTAAAATTTACAAACTCTTTTCTTAGAATTTTTTTAACTAAAGGGACTGTAAGCGTAATTTCAAGTGATCTTTCATTCAAAGATGTGCAGGTCAGATTCACAACGGTATCCTTTAAACCTTTAATATAAACCGCTCCATTATTCTTAATCCGTCGAAGGTTTAAAGGTTACTGTTGCGAATTTGAACTGGACTGCTTTTAATGGAAGGTAACTTGAACTTACGCTTACAGTCCCTTTAATGGAAGGAAACTTCAACTTACGCTTACAGTCCCTTTAAGCATTAACAATTCTTACTTTGCCAGAGGGTTCTGCTTTACATGAAGGAAGGCTTCCAAATCTGAGTGTGAGAGAGAAAAAAATAATTTCGAAATTAAAAAAGTTTTTTTTATTGTTCTATGGGACTAATTAGGGCTAAACTAATGTTATTTTTCTTGAGATGAATGAAATTTAGATCAACGCAGTTTTAATCAGTAAAATAAAAAATATATGGCTATGTTTGTAGTTACCCAAATAAAATTTAAATTCTTTCGGATCAGCCGTGTTTATATTTATCATGAACTCAAACCCACCAACAGAATGAATCATTACATTAGTTTTTAAAAAATTAAATTTTTTCTCTTTTTATTTTTCCCTGGTTCCATCTTGCGGCGAGAACTTCAGTTTTCCCCCAGGACCCCTAGATAAATAAATTAGATTTTTCCCCCAGGACCCCTAGATAAATAGAATATATTTCCCCCAGGACCCCTAGATAAATAAAATAGATTTTCCCCCAGGACCCCTAGATAAATAGATTAGATTTATTAATTCTCCCAGGACCCTTAGATAAATAAAATTAGATTTTTCCCCCAGGACCCCTATATAAATGAATTAAATTTTTCCCCCAGGACCCCTAGATAAATAAATTAGATTTATTAATTCTCCCAGGACCCTTAGATAAATAAAATTAGATTTTTCCCCCAGGACCCCTAGTTAAATAAATTAGATTTTTCCCCCAGGACCCCTAGATAAATAAAATTAGATTTTTCCCCCAGAACCCCTAGATAAATAAAATTAGATTTATTAATCATAAAAATTATTTTATCAATGGGCTAACTCAAACAGCCTCTAGACTCTGTCAGTCCTCAAACTAGAGAAAGACTGTACATATATATGTACATAAAGACTGTACATATATATGTACATAAATACTGTCACAAATTTTAATTTTTCGCCAACTTATATAATGTAAAATGTAGTGTAATAATAAATCGAGTTTGGAATACATTTATTATTATTATTATTATTATTATTGGGCTGCTAATTACCTTAATTCCTTCATACCAACAAATATATATAAATATATATAAATATAT